CGCGTTCAAACAAACAAACAAAAAAAATACAAACTCTTCCGCCTTATATAATAGTATGTATAAGATTTCATCAAAATCTGTTCAGTAATTTCGGAGTGATTGACGGACAAACATCCAAACAAAGAAACTTATATATTAACTTTAGTGTGATAACTGATAACATTCGGTTTATAAAAGAAATTGCCTGTAGGCTAATACTAGCCTAAAAGTACTATTAATGTATTTGTAAATAAAACCTCGGTAAAAACTCAATTCATGAGGAATGTAATCAGGAATTACCCACTCATATAATCTTTCAATACCTACGCGGTTGTGTTTTAAATATAGATTTTGTTTATGTAGCTACGTATACATAATATAGTAGACTGATTATATGTATAGTAAACACCAGGGATCGATTTTCTAGCCATCTGTTTACTCTGACATAAAACGTATATGTGTATTGAAAAACACCATTGAAACTATGCCAAAAATAGATTTAGATAAAACTAGCGGACCCGATAAACGTTGTCCTGCATATCCACTTCAATGTATAAACAAAAATTCATTCATATTAGTTCAGCCCATACGCTGCCAGTATACGAAATTTAATCAAAATCCGTTCAGTAGTTTCAGCGCGATTGACGGACAAACATTCAAACAAAGAAACTTTCACATTTATACTATTAGTATGATTTCCTACTTCAAATAATATTGGTCCACACACACCCACCCTGACACCGCTAAAACCAATTACTATTGCCATTACTACTCTTTTATCTAATTGGATTAGATACACAAATTAATATTCAGGCCACAAACATATGACAAACCATTAACTTTGAATTAAATAATGGTTACAATGCCTATTATGTAGGACAATGAAGAGAAAAAACGTTTGAATGCTTTATTTGGGATCACTAAATAGTGGTAGAAACACAGGAGCACAGAAACGGAGCCACTAGCCTTTTTCCTTTTTCATTTCTTAAACCAATATTAATATAATAAATACGAATAAATAAAAACTAAAATATTTACATCTTAAATTAAAATGTTAAATTAAGGCATTGAAAAAATTTTCCTCATCGCTATCGTGAGGAAGAAAAAGACCGTCGCACAAAAGACTGGCAGCATGCTTTATTTATTAAACAAAATATGACAATCTATTATATATAGTCGGAATTTTAATTAGATTCCAGATTTGACAATAGCTACTGTCATTTTGTGAAATAATGATACCACATATAATAGTGTAGTGATGCAAACAAAAATCGATAAACAATCGGTGTGTGTGTTTTATAATAAATGTTACAGAAAGTGACAGGATAGCGATAGCGATGACGGCGACAATTTATAAAATAACTTATTACCATGATACATCTATCTGTTTTATTTGTCATGTTCCTTCATGATTACATTTTTTTATTTATTTCACACACAATTATAAAAGAAAAGTCTCAGATCGTTAATTAATCGTCAAAACTAAATTATCGGTTCAGAAATATTTAATTTCCTGATATACTTAGTTTACAAGAGTAAAATTATAAACGAGAAGAATCGATCCAGAAATATTGCATTTCAAAATCGAATAATTTCGCAACGTCACTATTTAGTACTTGTCATAACGTTGCAACACTGAAATTGTCAAATCTGGAATCGAATTAAAATTCCGAGTATAGTAACTAAAACACATTTGTATACTATGTTTTATGCAAATAAATGTCTTTATCTTTTTCTTATATATCTTTATTTACAATGAGAGCATTTTGTTGTAAAAGGAATATATTTTTTAAAGTTCGATAAAATGAAAAAAAAGTTCAGCCACTAGCGGCTTCGCCTCTTTGCTCCAAAATGTACATTTAGAAGAGCTTAAGATCGAATTCAGTGACACGCTTAATATTAGAGATAGACATCCAGCAGTCAACAGAAATAGGATGATGATATCATTTTGTACAGACCCATTTTCGTGTGTGCAATGTCAAATGATCCATATTTATTATATGTCAGATTTCATGTAATTTATATTTATCTCACTAGACTAGACTAAAAACCGCAAACCCAAGTGTCAACCGCTAGGTCATGTTGTGGTTTTATTTATGTATTTATAGAAAATAGATGCCTCGTTGGCTGAGTGGTCGCAAGTACGACTGGCCGGGCAAGGGGTGTCGGATATGATTCCCGGGTCGGACAAAGTATTACTTTGGGTTTTTTAATAAAATCTCAGTAGTAGCACGGATTCGGATATTGTGCCCGGTAGGTATATGACAAAACGCTAAGCACATGGGAATCGTAACATAAATAGTTGAAACGTGAGAGTTATATTGTACAGTGGCATTAAGTGCCATCTCTGCCTGCCTCTTCGGGGATAAAAGACGTGATGTTATGTTATGTAAAACAGATTCACTTTATAAGGATGGACTGACCTGATAGTACTTTAGATGTGGATATTTCATGATAACTCGGAGTATGAGCACTGTCAACTGGTCCTGCAGTGCCACACGCTGCTCATACGGAATGCCTGGGGGGAACCGCTTCAGAGACCGGTTCACGTCTAAAACCACCTGAATACAAAAACATTCAATTTATTTACAGGAAGATACTTGTGCAAAATGTCAAAGAAAATCAGATTCTGTTTTATAGGTAAATCATTTGTTTACAGGAAAATAATGAATAAATACTCCAACTCAAAAGCATTTATTTCAATCAAAACCCTAATTAGGTACTTTTCAAATGTCAACAAATATAAAATAAAGAATAGTCTGTCAGTCAGTCTGTCAGTGAAGCTAGGTGCTTGTTCCAAAAAGTAGATTCGAATGGAGAAGTACAAGCAAGAAACTCCGTTTATTACTCTTTCTTTAATAAATCAATAATGATTCCTTTAAAAAAATATACAACATCCCTGATTCTGATTGCCTTATAACAGTTATTAGAGAAGTTATATAGATTGATGAAATTACGTTGTGTTAAACACAATTTCGTCTTTCTAAAGATAGAGCAATGAATCATCAACATAACTGCTTTGAGATCAAAACAAAGTAAGGCAATATTCCTAATCTAATTGTATGATAGTTTGAACATGTTTTTGGAGAAACAAGCACTTTACCTGATTATATTCAATGTGTGTCGACAATTCATCCAGTGACGGAGGCTCTGTCATCTCTTCCTGTGTCACACCAACTAGCAGCGGCCATATTTTTCTTCTGTAGTCGTCTTCAATAACAACAGAAATATAATTTGAAACTATTTTAGTTATGTAATTAATTAAAAGTAAATAATAAAATTATTTCTTGTCTACATGCATCCGCCCATCAGCCAATGTTGAATTTTGAGCTAGCTTTGAGTAGCAACACATTTCATCAATAAATAAAAGTAAATATATGATGTATGGCACTCACATTTAGGTACATATTAGTCTACCAGAGTTTAATTATAGAGCTGATCAAAATATCCACAGGAAAACAGTAAAATTTTAATGTTTTGAATCATTACACCTCCTAGTCTGTTTATGATTCAATCAAATTAATTAAGGTTTACTCAGATATAACGGTACGAAAGATAGTGCCAAATCTTCTGTTAAAAGTTCATTTATTATTGATTTTATGACTCTCAGAGAATATAACGAATAAGAATTTAAAGTAATTTCAGTTTATTGAACGCTAACCTTAAATTAATATCTGACTTTGACATTTAGAGAGTAGAAATTGACATTCTGATAAGAATCAGATACAAACTAGCAAATACTCTCAGTATTTGTTATGTAAATGGTTTTAAAAGAATTTATCATAATGCCAACATTGTACAGTCCACTTAGATTACTAGTCATCATATCAGCGTATGACGACAGAGGTGGCATTGTTCTGTTTAACGACGTAAACAAATTGTGCACTGTCCACTCACCACTTATTAATCCAGCTTTCCCTTTTGCAAAATCCTGCCATTGCTCCAAATTCACCCAGTCCAAATTCTCCAAACATTTCTCAATTTCTTTCTTCTTTTCCTTCACTTCAGGGTCCTCATAGTCAGGTTCTAAACAAAGTTATCAATGACATTAGCAGAATGCACCAGAAACTTTCACTTGCATTTTCTATTTCAATAATCAATAATGACACACAAAAATAATACTGATATAAAGAATATTATGCAAAAAATGTACCTAGATAGTTCAAAATCAAACAATTTAAATATTTGTTTACAATACCTTCATCAAATTTTAACTCGGAAGGTGTAGAGATGTCATCAATATTTTTGGCGTTATTTATGTCGAAAGATTGTTTATTCGGCGTCGGTGAACAGTCGCCATTTGAATTACACTTATCACCAATATCAGAGTCGGTCTTATTAGATTCCATGGTAGAAAGTAAAAAATTAATCGAGCGAAAACATTACACCATCCTTCCCCATAGGGCGATGTGATGACATTTGAGAAAAATGTTATGTTCAAAAACTCGTACAGAATCGAGGGCTGAAATATTATTCATTTTTCCTTTATATTAAGTTAGACTTTAAAATATATATAACTAAACCTGTATAAATATTATGAAACACTAACAATATTACACAATATTTGTAGTAGAATAAAAAGTCTTTAGAGAAAATTATCAATTTCGATTTGGTTTTTGTATTCGGATAGTTTAGTTTCCGAATGTACTTAAGAAATGTCAACTGCACGGTCCTTTTTACTCAGAATATCCGAAAACGTATAATTTATAAAAACTATTTTCTCTACGTAATTAGATAATCGTAAGTATGAGATCAGATATCCGTTAATAATTCTGACTAACTTTGGATTTTCGTCATAACATGACAAAATACGCGCAAAATAGTTTATAAGAAGATAATTTAAGAACATTTTTCACTTGCTTAGTAAAGGAGAACGGCAGATTTTGTACCGCTTCGCTACTTGATTTCTTTTTAAATGTCATAAATTAATAAGTTATTGTCAAAGTAGACCATCCTGATTGGGTCAATAACATTATTAAAAATTTGTAAAATAATAAATGGCTAAAAATATTTTTTAAACAATGGATATCAACGTTATTTCTCCAGACGAGAGTATTAGAAAAATTGAAGACATTATTGATATACAGAAAGCAAATGGAAATTTCAGTGTTCGGCAAGTAGCCTTCAACCTTCCCTCCGAGTCGGCAAGCTCAGTTTCAGCAAATGTAGCCAAAAGCTTAGAATCAGGTTTAACTAAAACCAAATCGGACAGTGACAGTAAGAAGAAGTTGAAGAAATTACGTTCAAAACGCCATAAGAGTCCTTTACCAGACGTTATATCCTGGCCGAGTGACTCGGATATAACGGTACTCAGAATGAAACTATGTTTGACTAGTAGTGATATGAAGGAAAAGGTGGGTAATATAATTCCTGGAGATGGTCTTCACCAGCCAGACAGCTCATCCATGGTAAATTTGGCGACATTGATCCGACAGTCTCAGCCACCATCTAAACATAACGTTCATATGGAAGAATATCTTATGCCACTGACGTCTTGGGAGAGGGAGCAAGAGCACGAACCCGAGAAAGAGGAACCAATTGTTGAAGAAGAACAAGTAGACGACTTTTCTGCGAAATGTTTGCACGAGTATAGTGTTTTCGAACCTAGATGTAGTCATGAGCTTAATGATCATTTAAGTTCTAAAGACAGTCAGTCTGGGTACTCAAAGATCACGAAGAAATCAAAGTTCGCTCGGTTCCTGCGTCTGTACTTCTGTCCGTGTTGCACCTGCCTCTATAGACTGGAGAAAATGCGAGATGAACCTTCAGAATACTTTACGAAACGCAAAGAAGTATATTAAAAGTACTTACGAAACGAATTGTGATGTTACTTTTGCATTGCAAATAATGTTTACTCGGCAAACTCAATCTGTGTTTCATTCTATCACGGAACACTTTGCTAACGATAATATTTCAGGCGCGGTACAAGTAAATGTCTGTGTAATGTAAGTGTCGTGGTGGCCCGGAGGTTTAAGAGGCCCGATTCTCATGCATGAGGGTGCGGGTTTGAGACCTACCAACGGCCAGTACCAATGTGACTTTTTCCGAGTTATATGTACTTTCTAAGATTATCTAGTCACCACTGACAAACGGTGAAGGATAACATCGTGAGGAAACCTGGGCTTATAATTTCTAATAATTAGAAGTCTGTAATCGCCAACCCCCGTAGAGCAAGCATGGTGATGAATGCTCAAACCTTCTCCGTGTGAGAAGAGGCTTAGCTCAGCAGTGGCATTTATAGGCTGTCGACATAGTATAAAGAACAGTATACTATGCTGTCGATGATGACATGTAAATGAGTACCTACTGTCAATGACCAGCTGAGTGATGCTGATGCTATTTTTACTGTCTTGATATTAATTATGTAGTTACACGAGATATTTTGTCTGGACTAATGGAAATGGATTGAATTGATGAACTTCATTTTAATAAAACGGAACTGCCCTACATTGAGTCGACCGTTGGCGTTATGACTATCTGTGTGACTTGCTTAGTTGCTTGTATTGAGCAATGTGTCGCACATAGGTTCAATTTTCGCGTTATTATTAACTTTTAATACCCTAGAATCTGGAAATTCTGGTAGGCACCACTGACATGCACCGTGCATGGCTCGAAGAGCACCTAAATTCCTTGGACCATTAGCTGCTCTCTTTGCAATTGTGTCGAATGTTAAGGGAAGGTGCCGAAGGAAGGAAAGAGTTCACCTATATGCAGTACCGTTTTTACCATAAGGGCACTCGGGACCCGTGCCCGGGGCCCCCATCCTCACGGGCCACGAAGGACCGACAATTTTTACGATGGTTGCGTACTACACGTTGCGCGACAACCGGCTGCCCCGCAACGTGTAGTAGGTTCGATTCTCGCACGGACCACAGTCTTAGTGTGATCCACAAATTGTTGTTTCTGGTCTTGGTGTCATTTGTATGTGAATTTGTATGTTTGAAAATGCACCCAAGATACAGGTGAAAATCCTAGTGTGCTAACGTAAAAAAAAAGAAATATTTCAAAAGGGCCCCGAATTATTGTCTGCCTATATACATCTACAATTATTAGACTAAACTAATGTAACTAGGCAGACTTACTACAATTATCAAAATCAATCCAGAGACATAAATATTACTAACAAGAATGAATGTTGTAAATATTTCTATAGATATAGATAATTGTTATCGTAAATGCACGGTATGCACGGAAAACACGTTGCATGTCGCTAACGATAAATATTTCTTTTTCACACTAGCTGTGTAATTGATATTTGCTTCCTTATTTGATATATCATTCGCCTTTACCACTAAATTAAGAATTGTTTTAGCCATTTCGTTAATTCTCTCTCTCGCTCTAAAATGTTTTATAATCCGAGAAATCATCACATGTCAGGATCACCTACCATCATTCATCATCAGCTTGTTTTCATCCACCGCATATAGGTGTCTCTATTAGCACGATAACACATCCAACCACTGTCAAGTTCAAGTTCTTTATTGTATGGTGTAGTGAATTAGTCAGTTCCTCAGTGCCAGTGACGTTGTATATAATTATTGTCACCTCACCTATCTACATGATGTTCTTTAGTACGTTTGTCTTACCACGAACTAGTAGGTCTGTAAATACAGTAAGTATTTTTGTCCTAACTTACGTACGCACTAAACAATTAATGAATGTAGAGTTTTTACTCTATCTCTAACGTAAGACAATCTAGCATTTTACGGAACGTTAACACATAAACAACATAGGCAGTTTCTCTGTAAACCGCAAACAAAAAACAAACAAAACCCCCATTATCACATCAGAATGCATAATGACAACCACGACAGACGGCAGCAGGTCAAACAACTCTTTTACCTATTTCAACTTTACTGCTTTGTTTTAAAGTCGAAGATCCAATGAAAACAATTGACAGTTTTGAGTAGGTTGATCTGCAGTTGGAGCTTGTAACCTACTCATAACTCAGACCGTCTTGGTCCTACCCACGCGCAAATAGAACAATGAATGAACCTTTTTAAACATTTCTTCGGGCAAGGTCCTTCTCCATTCACTTAAAAAGATCATGATCAGTTACTCCGATATAGGTTGAGTCAACGAAGCCAGTGGTTACGAAAGTACTCTTGTAAATAGCTGCCCACTGGTGGGACAGCAGTAGAGGTATTAAAGCTTTGTTTGATACTAATCTAAGACTAATACTAGAACTAACTTTTATTAAACAATCGATGGAAATCGAGTTTTGTGATGTAACACAAATAGAACTGCTCATGATGACGAGAGCATGATGTGGGAGAGCGTAAAGCCATAAACATATTAGAAATTTTTGTTTAATGCACATTAAATTGCGTAATAAAAGTAATATTTTATTCAATTTAGGAAATAGCTAATGCGGAACTTAGGAAGCCAATTTTCCGAATGAAGGAGTGACTGGGAGATGTCCGGTAGATTCGATCGCGTACGGAAAACTTCACATTTTTTATAGATCTAAATGTATGTCCCATCACGAAATCACATAAACATCATATCCAAACGAGGAACAATGCCGGCAACGGCAACGGCACTTAATGCCACTGTAACACCCACTTTTCAATATTTATGTTATGAGTCCTATGTAATAGGGGGTGAGCCTATTGCCATATACCGGGCACAATTCTAGACTCCGTGCTTACACTGAGAATTTTTTTAAAACCCAGTCGTACTTTGCCCGACCCAGGAATCGAACCCGAGACCTCTTGCCCGGCAGTCGCACTTGCGACCACTCGGCCAACGAGGCAGGTTGGCTGCTACTATGCTGTTTAATTTAATATCTGACACCATTAAGTAGAGCTTGTCAACTTTTCCTTTTTGTAACAAAATTGAAGCAATTCGAGTTTTCGGTAAGTTTTCTCTACCGAACGTTTAGAAAGCTTCAGATTACTCTAGAAAAAACAAATTGACAGTTACAATAGACAGCTGTACAAATCGTTTGCAATATTTATCATTTAATTAAGACGGATACTCGTTACTTCGGTAGGTATATCAGAATTTCCTGGCTCACAACCTCCCCCTTGAGTAATTATGATGGGATTGTGATAATAGTAACCTTCTCCAGTTGCCATAACTCTATACCCTTGACTGATGAATATCGTCCTGAAATCCACTTCTTAAAAAGTTAAAGGATACCACATAATCATAACACTCACATAGAAATACAGATATCAATCAAAATTTATGTCCTAAGCTAAGTAGCACTAGATCTAGATTATCTAACAGAACTAATAAACGTACCTATAGTGTTATTTGTGAAGTCATTGTAAGAATACTTAAACGAGCGTCAAAGTTGCCTGATACAAACCACTTAAGCTTTCACAACAGGTGTAAACGAATATAATACGTATGTAGGATTGTATAATTCCGAAAGTATATTTCGAACTTGATATAGCTTGGTGACACATGACTATAGCAATAAAGCATAAAGCTTCAAACTGCGCTGGATGTAATAAGAATATGCGAATAGGTCTTTATAATAACAGCATAATCGTGGATTGTATTTACTTACTACCTTTTACCCGCGGCTTCGCTTGCGTCACAAAAGAATAAAAAGTAGCCTATGTGACATATACCAACACACACAGCGCCATCTAAACCAATACTTTTTCTTTCCCTCGGGAATATTAAATCTTTCCGGAATAAAAAGTACCCTATCATTTAATCCGGGCTTCTAACTTTACGTCTGAAAAAATTCAAAGCAATCGGTTTAGTAGTTACGGCGTGAAAGCGGAACAAACAAACAAACAAACAAACAAACAAACTCGCTTTCCGATTTATAATATTAGTAAGGATTTCATTTTACCTCTTAACAAAGCAAAATCACAAAAATCGCACTTACAATTAGACTTCCGTGCAAAAATATTTTCATTAAAAAACTTAGTTAGGAAAATAAATACGGAAATAATATTTTGCTACATTGTTCTTCTTTAACCATACACACTAAAGTCACGAGCCACCTTGAATGGAAATAGCCCGTGCATGCATGCTGTTTAGCTACATCTAATATTATTAAATTTAAGTGTTTCGTACTCAAAATCATGCATCTTAACCTGAATTACTGAAAAACAATAAACAATCATTAGTGTTTACTTGTATCAAAGGTCCTAGTATAGACCCTTGAAGAACACCTCAAATTTTTAAGTAATACCAAATTTTTTGCATCTGATTACATTCGGCCGTGTCATCTTTAGGTAGGATCTTTCTTGATTTGGTTTATTTTCGGTAGGGACACATTTTATGATCTTTAATACAATCTGATCGTTCGGGTTGGTCAATAAAATAATTCGTATTATCAAAAGTACCTGGAACCGGTTACCGGAGACATCTGAACTCAGAGGAACCCCAATGATGTATGGTGTGCTCGGCGAAAACTCACTTTTTGGGCTTTTGAGGCCATTATGCGATAATAAGACTGACGTAACCAGATATACGGTCGGCACATAAGAAATATATTGTGCCATGAATTACTTAAGATTCCTTTCATTACAGTACAGATATCCATACATAGGGGTGGACTGATAATTATTTTATGACTCCGATCAATGTTCCAATAACACGCGGAGTTATCATATTGTTCTAGCCACTTTACCATAAAAAGGTGGTTAAAAGCACGTTAAAAGTATCTCAAAACATCAATGATAACATATAAATGCAGACTGGACACTGGACCTTTGAAGACTTACATGGATACTCACTTTAACACGTACAATATTACATAAACAATTCGATACTTAATTCAAAATAATAAGAAGATAACTAAAATCTGAAATTTACGTCTCCTGCTAATAGG